TATTGCAATATTTCCAAAATGTCCAAGAACTCTCCAAGATCATTTTTGAATAGGGAGAATCGAAGAGAGGAAGTTGGCATTTTCTCACTTTTTATCCAAGCCATTTTCATAAAGAACCAAGTTGCAAATCAAACCTATGCTGGCTATTTCATGCTTTACAGGTCCTAAACTTGCTACACACTCCTTAATTAAATGCATACTCAGTTTACAAAGCCTTTATCCTTGCTTTTGAACCTTTATCCAATTGATAATTCCACTTATGGCAAAAAGGCTCCATTGCCATTTTCATAAAGGGGAACTTTTACAAACTTTATAATCTTGAGCATTGGACCCGTCCCCTTGATGCACACAAACCACACAGGTCTCAAGAAACTTATACAAACTCATACCAACCCTAAAGAAGGCTGGTACAAGCATGTGGGTTTGGTCTTGTCACTTTGCTTCAAGTACAAGAAAAGTTGCAAAAAGGTTAGGGCTTGTACAACTGATAGAGAGCTGACTTTAGATCATTTCTATACTAATATGAAAACAATGTACAACACATAACACGCTTGGCAAGGACCTGAAACTATCTCAAACTGAAAAACACCATAAAACTGCCCAAACATACAGTTTCTGCATAAACACATCCAACTCTCATTTGGCTCGTGCATTTTGTGTTTAGATCATTCAAACATCTTACATACTTGATATCAAACTCATCCAAGCCATCATCCATGTTATTAACCTCTATTTCACCATCTGCCATTGTTGACTTTGAAGCTTGCAGTTGGACTTGGTCAGGGAGTTCTAGCCACTTTCAGAGCAAGGCAAGGGTTGGAATAGATCCAGGGAAGCTCAAGGAAGCTCAAGCAATCATCAGGGCTCCATTAAAGTCACTACATTTCCATACACGATTCCAGCTGAAGGAGGTAAATTTTCAAACTCTATCTCCTTGTACAGGCAACCTTAGGCCACGATCTGTGAATAAAAAATGTAGTTCTCATCATAACGAAGCTATACATATCATTAATTTGCATTGATTTTACTTGTGCTAAGAGAATTTGGAAGTTAAAATTTCTGGAAATATTAGGTCAAGATTTAGGGCTTTTAAAATTCTCTTTGGTCTTTGATAGTTAGATTACATAACTTATATGGTTGGATTCGTGAGTTTAAATGCTACATTTTTCATGTTATAAGTTTTCATTTTTATGGAGGCATGAGGAAGTTACAGGGGATCCGACCAAGGCTTGAGGAAGAAGATGAAATAGGGCAAGGGCGCGTTTTATAATATGTTGTTTTTGTTTCAGTAAAGACAATGGATGTATAGCCACCCCAGTGGTAAAGCAGCGCGCTGGTGAGACCCATGTCCTGGGTTCGAACATGCGCGCTACTTTTTGCATTTTTATAATTTTTCCTTTTCAGTTTTTGACACCTTTTTTGCAGGATTGGGCCTTTTGCTTTGGGCCAATATTTTTGCTTATCATCACCACTGACTTGCTATCTTACCCCTGCCATTTCTTTCATATTTTATTTTATTATTTTTTATATTTAATACTTTTAATTATTTTCTTTAATGATAAAAAATCCTAAAAAATAACTTAATTATTTGTACACCTTTATTTTATTTTTTTATTATTTCTCACATAAAAAATTAATTTATTTTGATAGAATATAATTTATTTTCTTAATAAACTCATAAACATAATTAAATATACTTAATATTTTTATTTTACATTTCCTATTTACAAATACTTATTTTTGCACATATTTAATTTTTAATATTTATATACAATATTATTTTATTATTTTTTATACAAAAATGCACAAAATAATAATATAGAAACATTATTTTCTTTTAAATGAAAATTAGGGTTTAATCCCTTTCAAAAGAATTAAATATTTTTCCTTATATTTTTTAGGTTTAAATTAAATTTTTTTTTATACAAAAGCAAGACAAAAAAACACATTTCTTTACATACATATTGCATTACATTTTAAATATTGTATTATATTTATTTTAATTCGCGCAAGTTCGATTTGGTTGTAATAATATATTTAGCTTTATATTTGTGCAAATCCCCATTCAAACTTGTATTCTCCCTCCCATAAAATTGTTGTAATAGCTTAGTATATTTACATTATGCAATTTATTGCTTTCATATGCCATGATTAGTAATTAGGGTTTGTATGACAAGAACGAAACAAAACAAATAGAAAACCCTAAATGCAAGATCAAAAGCATGAAAATGATATACGTTGCACACAAGCACCCTTAGGGTTTCTCCCACTTGGTTGCCTAAAACGAAATGGCCATGTTACGCATGTGAAGTATCTTGGCAAAAAAAAACAAATATAAGATCATAGCCCCTCGATGACGCTATTCAAAAAGTTGCCCAAACAAAATGATCTTGGTCCCTCAAAGATGCTAAGATACTTTGCAACATTGTTATCATGGCTATATGATGACCCATGCTCGTCCCGTTTACATCCAAAGATAGGGTTGCTTACCAACTCAATGGTAAGACAACAATGTCAAAGGAATAGAAAATACATAAGAAAGACATTTGATTAGGTAGATAGCTTCTAAGTTACTTGCTCCATTTCAAACAATCCTTGCTATTTTCAAAAACAAACACACACATTTCAAAAACATCTTACAAACATTGAAAACATTTTCAAAAAGACAAACATCTTTGTATACATTCTTACGAACGAGAATCATTACAAAGATTGCCTAAACGAATGGCCTCTTTTACAAAATACTTTCAAAACCATACCAAACACCATTTCAAACAAACCAAAGCAAGTGATCTAAGCAAGTAACTAAGAGCCCATGGAAAACCATGGATGAAAAGGGTGCTAGTACCTTCCCTTTTCATAATCTACCCCCAGAACTCAAGAAAACATCTCAAAGGTCTTTCCTGTGCTTTTTCACCTTTCCTTTTGGATAAAAGAAAAATCGGTGGCGACTCTTGCTAACTGCAACATTTGCGATAAAATGCAAAACCTTCAAGTCAGTTATCCCACCGCATCATAGAACTGGCGACTCTGCTGGGGAATGTTGAGAGTGGGGTTACCTTAGGGTTTAGATCACATTTATTTGCTTACCTTGTTTGATTTGTTTGCTTTACATTATGGTTCTTTGTTTGGGTTTGAAATCCTCACTACAAGAAAATTGGCAGATTGCGGCAGGTATTTTTGTAGATTACGACGGTTAAAACCGTCGCAATTTGCTTTCCACGACGGTTGCTTTACCGTCGCAGAAGTGTGTGTCCCCAACCTATTTCGCGACGGTTACAAAAACTGTCGTTCAAGTTTACGACGGGTTTGGAGCTGACATAATCAAGTATTGGTGACTGTTTGATACCGTCGTGACTATCTTTTGAGTTTCTTTTAATTATTGATGGCGACGGTTCGATACTGTCGTGAATATCTTTTGAAATTGATTAAATTATTTATGGCGACGGTTCGATACCGTCATGACTTTTGTTGATTATTTTTAATTGTTGATTACGACGGTTCGGTACTGTCGCCATGACTTTTGTTTATGTCTTGATTTTTTTTTCTATTATATATATTTTTTATTTAAATTATTATCTATGTAAAAAATTTTAAATATAGTTTTTTTTTGTGTTATTTTTTTCTTTAATATATTTATTTATAGTATTATTTTTTGTTTTATTTTCTATCACTTTGTAATATAGTAAAAATAATTTCAATAAAAAATATTTAACATCAAATAAGCATTATAATATCCAAAAAAATGTGTGTTCCATAATCATGTAAAATGCGAGTTCCATAATCATGTCAAGTAGTACAAAAAATCCAAAATATATCAATTCCTAATCTTATAATAATAAGTATCATTATGCCAAAAATACATGAGAAAGTTCACAATCTAATTATCTCGATCATAGCAAAGTCTAATTTGTCCCCCCTGAAGTTCCATTATCTCCAATACGGTAGCTAGACTCAGATGAACGTCTACCATCAGCGGGTGATTCCAATCCCTAAAAAAAGGTATTAAAATAATAATCTTTAAAATAATACTCATAAAATTTAACTTTAAATGCGTCAAAATAATATACCTGTCTTCCATTAAAATTCTGCATTTGCATTAAGAGTTCAATTTCCTTTGTCATCGCCTTGTCCCTTTGCGTTAAGAATATGATTGCCTGTGTTAATTCATCAATTTTTGAATTCTTTTCTTTAAGTGCATTAATTTCTTCTTGCATTTCCTTTATTTGTTCACTTTCTGCAGAAGAAGATGTCGATCTGGAAACGATCGACATAGATGTTGTTTGACAACTTCCGCTAAAACAAACAATATACCTTATGAATAAAACAAAAATATTTTAGGATACAAGACATGAATGACTTCGAACATAAAAAAGTTAGCTTTTTTGCAAACAAAATTACTTCAAACAACATCTACAAACAAAATGACTTCAAACATAGAGCAAACCAGTTATAGATCTACGTATTATGTGTAAAAATAAATACAAAGGAATTGCTTTGTAACATAACATGTTTGTAACAGGTTTGTAACATCGAAAACATGTTGATGAAGCTCAGAACAAATGTATACGATGACTGATGAACTGGCAGTACCTGTGAATGTAACCAAATATAATGGTAGAACTCCGACGGTGAACTGAAAGTATAGGGCTTTCATCATGTTCTTGACAACTGATTATTTGATTGTCACCTATTATTAAAAATTGGAAGTGTAATGAGTTCACATATGACATTGGATTTATTGGTACTCAGAAATGGCATAGAAATTACTATGTTGATAGTAAAATAAAAAATCAAGCAAATATACAACTCTTATCTATAGCAAGGAACTAAAGTAGGGTAAGCTGTTGACATAACTAATTAGAAAATGATTGCAAAAACCTTCATGAACGGATGATATATGAATTGGGCTTGAGGAATATAGATATTTATTGGCAACACAAACATATACAGTCAAGTTTATCACTATCATCATATATAGAAGCAAAATCATGGCTTCCTCAATTCACATAACCAGATTTTAACAGCTTTACCTTTACCAACAAAGCATCCATCTTCCTTTTATCAATCCTGAGTGGACTTTTCATCTCCATCAACATCTTCTGACCCAATGCTTTAATTGATGATTCCCCTTTTTCACTTCTATGCTTTCCAACCCCACAAACCACAATAATTTCAGCAATAATCTCAAAGTTGGAAGCATTCAACAGTAATCTTCACAAACACTCCACGATTGAATGAAACCGCATGGGTAAATGCAATAATTATAAGAGGAAGTTTTTACTATTAGCCTGTTAAATGAATATAATACATGGTATATCTTGTGTATACCATAGGAGTACTCAAAGTATATTGGTCTTGATGAACTTACTTGGCACAGATCGACTAAGATGATTAAAATTACCAGTCTCCAAATTTTGAGATAAATGCAGCCTGGCCCGCATAACATATCACAAGAAGCGGATATATCAAGCAAATAAATGTAACATATGAGAAGTGAAAGATGAAATTTGGTTGCATTTATTCTAGCCAGGTATGTAGAAGAAGGACGCTAATCATTTCATCTCCTTTATGAACATACTTGTCGCATAGCTGGATCTTTCATCTGGTTTCTCATCTGTTCTTGTAAATCAGTACTTGAGGATGGGAAGTTTGGCTCTGAAGCATTTATAATATTTGAAAATGCATTGTCAGAAGAACTTGATTCTCCAAAAGCACGAGTGGTGCTTGAGGATGGGAAGTTTGACTGTGACAAATTTCTTCCTTTCTTGTCTACAGCTGCTGCTGATGGAATAGATTCTTTCCCTTTCATTAAGGATGCCATTTCAAACATCTTCTTAAGGTCATCCGGTGGAATTTTACTTATCATATCAGTTGCTGTTTTAAGCATATCAGGTGTCACATTGGGAGGAACTGATCCAGAGTTGAAAGGAGAATCAGAGGAACCTCCTCTGAGAAATGGGTTGTTCCCTTGAAATGAAGACGCCATGTCGAACATTTTTTGAAGTTCCTCGGGTGACATCTTGCCGATCATATCCGAGGACGCTTTAATCATATCTGGAGACACGTCTTGGGATTGCCCAATGTTCAAAGAAGCCAGAGTGGCAGGATCAGCTTTGGAAATAAAATTTTGGAATGATCTGTAGTAGAATAAAAAACAAGATTGAGGGTCTATTCTTTGATCTATTTTTATACCAATGCTTGAATTAAAAACAAAGCATAATATTCTTAATACATTTACACAAAGTCCAACTACCTGATGGCTTCTGGATCTTTCTTCAGTGTATCTATACTGTCTGAATTTGATTTTAGATTTCCATTGTTAGCTATATTGTAACTCTTAGAAGAGTCGCCAGACTTTTTTGGTTGATCAATCGTTTATTCGGTAGAAGAGTTTCTGTTGTTTCCAGAAGGCACATTCTCAACTTCTTCAGTTATTTCTTCAATTACTAATCCTTCAAACATGATGCCAAAAAAAGTTAGATCTGACATCGATAAGAAATTTAGAGCCATAAAGCATAGTAGGGCCAGGACCAAGTGGAAGGGGGTAAAAGGAAATGGGATGGGAGCACATACTTCCAGGAGCACAATGACCACCTTCCTTTATCAACTGTTCCTTGGTGTCCCTGAAATAAACAGTTGATTAAATTAAACAGAAGTCCAAAGAGAAGTTTACTTCAAGCATACCAACTCCTTTATTAGAGATCACTCAATATTCTATCGTAAAAAACAAAATTGTTATCACATTACATATATACTTAATTCAGCATCCAAACCATTATTTATACGTTGAATGGTAGAAGGATTTGATGAAAAATCACCCATAATTAGATGGTTATAAATCACAAGAGGTGTAACTATGTGGAAAGGAGTAGGAATGCACCGTAAAAGCTCTCCAATTATATCATCATCAGGAGACACTTCAAGTGCATTGCTCAAATCAGTGACGACATCCTAAACAAACCAGGAAAGCTATTAAATATAGATATAAATGAAAATATAAGAAGTTAATCAAGTCACTTGAAGGTCACCTGTAGCAGGCCTCGTTCCTTATATGCCTGGCCTCTTCGATAAAGAGCCTTAAGGTTCTTTGCGTCATACGCCAAAACCTACCATAGTTAAAAGTGAATTAACGCATTGATGTGATGAAACAGCCAATTTTCAAAACAGAAAGTAAATTCATAGCAATCATGTTATTGCATATTACAGTTAGTTACAATGGAAATTTATTTATAATCTCCTAGGCTGATAAATTTCCCCATAGTAGTAACGCTACTAACATGTTGCACATGACTATTAAAATTTACAACTTAACATCCCACTGCAATGGTAAATGAAATGAATTATGAATACCTCAGAACCTTCTTTTATGCATTCATCATACTGCCTTGTCTTCAAGTAGCAGGCCATCAAGTTAAGTGAGCATGCCAAAAGAAGTTTTCTACTTTGAAAAGATGGAATCTCTTTGATGTTTTCCTTGGCCTAAAATGTAAAAATTAAAACAAGGTGATATAGACTTATAGTGATAATTTCCTATAGTCTCAAAATAGAGATAAACAACAATGAAAGGTGTGGAGGAGACAGTTAAGCAATCTGAAAAGTCAACCTACCAACTTATACTTCTGCAAAGCATCATCGAACTTTCCTTAAAATCCATACAAAATTAAAAAGCATCAACAAAATTTTATAACAATATTACCCGAGCAACATCCAAAGTGTCAAAACAACCAAAATCTTCATTGTAACAACATTTTGCCCATTCATGGATCAACCATCACAACTCACAACCAGAAGTTTGTAATCTTCGACAACACTACACTTGTTCATATGCAAAGTACTTCATCTTCCAACAATAAGAGGATTCTTGTTCTTGTAAATGTAATAGCTCATACACAATTTCTCTAAAGTTGCAACAGAATGCTGCATAGGATTTAGCTTTATATCCATCATCATTCTCTGCCATAATAACAACAAAACATTAAACAGCCTCCTAACAGCAACATTTTCACTTTACAATGTTAATATATCTTCAATTGAAATTAACATGACAACAGATCAAACCTGAAAATCAGCTCCATATTTCTCAACTAACCGACTAATATAAAGACGCTGAATCGAAGTCAAAGGTTGAGGAAGTGCACTTTTATAAAATTCCAAGTGCCGATTAGATAGTAGCATCCAATATTTACGTATGCCACAAATACTTGCCATCCCGAACCAACAGCTACACCTACAAGAATGCATGCATTTTTATAATTAAGCATTAACCATAATTACTTTTTGAATGAAGTTGATCGGTCTTTTTTACCTGATAGAACAGGTTGAACACTATTGAGAACAATGCTGACTCCCAAGAGAATTGACATATCATTAACAGTTTGAAGAACATGAGTGCTCGAGGTGAAAATATATGCAAACTCTCTTTTGAATATCACTATAAGAATACAAAAGATTAATCCAATCACTGTTGATTGTACGAGTGATACTTGCATTGCGAATTTTGCTGACTTCCATTTTCCTGCTCCAAGTTCGTTCGCCACTCGCACCCTATAATATAATTTGTGTCATCATTTGATAAATTTCACTAGAATAAATTATGTTAAACATTTAATTTTTCACTCTTCGCTAGTAGAATACCTTACACGCCATCAACCAATCACATATGGATAATCCACTATGCTTCAGTATTGTTGTTACTCTAAGAAAATATCAATCTTAAATGTTTTTTTTTCAAACTAAAAAATTATTAATTTTAATATAAAGTGAATGTTTTTCGATTAAAGAGATATATACGTACAGTTGAAAAGTGTTAAATATTAATAATTTATGAAATATTTAAAAAGGATAATGGTAGAAAAAATTTAGTGTTTTCTCCATTTTCTTCTCATACGAGAGGTGAAATGAAGAATCAATTCTGTTCTATAATTTTACTTCAATTTCGATGCAAATGATATTGTAAAAATAGCATACCCGGTACCGGCAAAGAAGGCAAATGGAATCATCATTTCCAATCCATTGATAGTCATACTGCAAAACCAATTCCAATACTGTAATAACTAATAAATATAAAACTTGTAAATCTCAAATACTTGTTACTCACTAATAACTTACCATACAGACAATGCATCAACAGCAACTGTTGCATTTTCCAACTGACCTGTCATAAGCAGCAGTATCCTGTAATACCAATTCTCTAAATAAAGCATCACCCCTGAAGCTAATGACAGTTTGAAGAATTCCCAAAGGCCAGAAAATGCTTCCATTGAAAAACCATTCCAAGTCAAAGGACAACCCCCACAAACTGTGTACCCAAACATCCCAATTACCAATACCCACCATGAAACATCCAAAGCTATTGCAGCACCAATAAGCCCAAAATCCCAAACATAAACCAACAACCAACTCAATACAACATTCACCACTAAACCCAAAAGAGAAACCCATGCAATCACACCTGTTTTCAGCTGGCACTGTAGAAACCTCTGAAGAGGAAACTGAAACGCAAAACTGAAATGCAAAGGTATAAGCCATATAGCTACGATACCACTCGATTCCGCCACCTCATGAGGTTGTCCTATGAGTTTCAGAAATGGAGTAGCAAACACATAAATTCATAAAATTCATATCTACACCACAAATTCATAAAATTTACATGCATTTCAAAAAAATATAAACAATTTCTGATACTAAAATACAAGAAAATACCGTCTTCTTCGAGGTCACTGCCAGAATCGTTGGGGTCATCGGAGACAGAAGGAGGAGCTCGAAGAGAATCGATGAGGGAGTTAGGGTCATTGACGACGCCGAAGGAATTGTAGTTTTGTGTGACGCTGCCTTTTTCATCCCATTTAGGGTCTTCTACAAGGGATTGTAACAGTTTGGGAGGAATGGTGAAAGCGGGTTTCAAAACTTTAGGGTTCTTCTTTGGAAGACCCACACGAACCTTAGGTCGAGAATTCTTGTATTTTCTTCGTGAGTAGAAAAAGTGAACGCAGGAGTAGAAAGTGAATTGATGTTTTATGTATTTTAAGAGCTTTTTAACTTTTTTACGGCGACGGGTGTTTACCGTCGTGCCCATGAGAATTTTTAAAGGTTTTGGGAGCGACGGTTGTTTTACCGTCGTGAAATGAATTTTAGGACGGATAATTTTACCGTCGTGAAAGGTTTAAGGGTGCGACGGGTGCTTTACCGTTGTGATATTCCTTTTAGGACGGTTAATTTTACCGTCGTGACTAGTTGTTGGTGAAAAATCAATGTTAAAAGTGTTAAATGGGGGCCGACGGTTGTTTTACCGTCGTAATAATAATATTATGATGGTTAATTATACCATCGCAAAATAAATATTAGGGACGGTTGGTGTCAACTGTCGTAAACACTGTCTCTATATGTCAATTACGACAGTTATCACATAACTGTCGCAATTTTTGTGTCGTTAAACAACTAATTTTCTTGTAGTGCCTCCACCCGGATTTGGGAAATATTATAGGTAAATAGCAATATATTGTGGAAACTGTGCGGGGTATACCGACATGGTCTAAGCAATAGCTATATTAGTGTGACATATTTGTGGGTACCGGTAGCCTTTGAGTCAATCAAAGAGAATACGGGGCCACTGAGTGATGTCATGAAGCACTAATAAACTTCTAAAACCCTTTACTTGACCAATTTGGCCTTTTAGGATGTAGTGAGATGACCGGCTTTGGTGCAGTCCGAAGTTGGTAGATACTCGATACTACACTCATTGAGGTTTGGTTTCTTGGGAAATTTTGGTCACCATTAAAGAGGCTTGGACTGAAACAATGAACAAGAAAACAATCCATTGATATTGAGCTCCTTAGAACCCGGTTACTATTTTTAGGACAGGTTGAGCCAACTAAACTTCAAGAGGGTATTTACCTATGAAACCACATGCAAGCCTAAACTAAGAACTTGCTTGATTTGCTTGTACATATATACTTGTGCATAACATCATGGACATCATGAACATCATATGCATTCACTAACCATTTCAAGGATTTTGGAGATTCATCTTTGTTCTTGTTTTGTAGGATATGGATTCACTTCGCAGGAAAACCATCCAAATCAACCTTGTAAGAATTCATCCACAACTCAAGGAGCTAGCTTCAAGGATCCCTGATAACTCTCCATTCACCGAGAGACATGGTCGTCTACTCAACTTGGTCACCTCCAACACAGAGGAGGATATGATGAAAGTTCTCTTCCAGTTCTTTGACCCTTTGCATCATTGCTTCACATTTCCTGACTATCAACTTGTGCCTACTTTGGAGGAATTTTCTCAACTCTTGAGGATTCCTATTCTCAATCAACTACCTTTCAACGGTACGGAAAGAGATCCAAAGCCAGAAGAGATTGCTCAAGCCCTGCACTTGCACTCATCTGATGTCACAACTCATTGGGAAACTAGAAGTGGTGTCAAAGGCTTCTTGGCAAAGTTTCTGTTTGAGAAAGCCCAAAGCTGTTGGAATTCCCTAGACTTTCAAGCTTTTTAGGATATTGTGGCTCTTCTTATCTATGGGATGGTCTTGTTCCCCAATCCTGACCAACTCATAGATGTGAGCGCTGTCAAAATCTTCATGTCACGCAACCCGGTGCCTACATTGCTTGGGGATATCTTACACTCTTTTCACACTCGTACGATGAGGAAAAGAGGTGTTCTTATGTGTTGCACTCCTCTCCTGGAAAGATGGTTTATTTCTCATCTTCCCCAATCAGTCTTAAAGAATGAGCAAGGTTTGAGGTGGTCACAAAAGTTAATGACGCTTAAACATTCAGATATTCATTGGTTCTCTCGATCCAAAGAGAATGTTATCATTGTTGACCGTTATGGGGAATTCCCTAATGTCCCTCTACTTGGCATTAGGGGAGGCATCACCTACAACACATGCTTAGCTCTAAGATAGTTTGGTTATGCCCGAAGGGACGGCCCACATGATATGCTGATTCAAGGATTGGTTTTCAACTACGACAACGACGATCAAAGTCTTCGCCAGAGATTCATCCGAGCTTGGAGGATGCTAAACAAGGTGGATAGAAAGACTTTGGGACACAAGAATTTCATCCCTCTTGAGCCTTACCTCAAGTGGGTACGAACCCACGCTCAAAGTCTTATGATGTCTTATCCTTCCATTCTCCCAGTGATTATTGAGCCTGTTAAGGAGGGAGAAGTTCCATACACTATCCTACATCCTGACATGCCTACATCACTCGAATACCTACAAAGGGATTGGATACAGCTCAAAGGAGAGCGCGATACTTTCGAAGCCCAATTCTACGCAAGCGAGAAGAAGGTTTTGGAACTCACTCGGCTACTTCATGAAGAGAATACTCTAAATACCTACATTGCACCAAAGAGGATGCGCAATGTCTTTTTATCTTAGAATTTTATATTATTTTTCCTAAGGGGCATTGATGTACTCAAATTCTATCTTACTAATATAACGTGTGTTTCTTTTTGTTTGAAACAAATTTGAATTTTTAAATCCTTGAAAGCATTGCATGAATACATATCATTCATCATAAACATAAATAGGTCTTTGCAATAAGTTTCCTCATCTCTCTACTGTTTATTTCAGTAAGATGGATCTCGAACATACGGTCAAAGACCTTCAAGCTCAAAATACACAATTTCAACAGTTACTCATGACCTTAGCCAAGGGGCAAGAGGAGATGAAGACTCTGCTAGAAAAAGAGAAAGAGAAAAATAAGAAAGAGAAGAAACCAGCTGGTGTGGTAATCATGGGCAGAAGATTTCAGGGACAAGCCCGAAGGACCTTGGAATTTCCAGCAACATCTGATGAAGGGGAAAGGAAAGGAAAAGAAACGGCAGTTCCGTCAGACTTTGAAGAAGAGGAGGAAGAGGAGGACTACTCTAAACAACAATACCCTACGGCTGATGATAAGTACAGGCACCTGGAAGAGCGTTTAACCGCTATGGAAATACAGAGAGTACCGGGGCTAGATTTTAAGGAATTGGGGTTGGTGTCAGGAATTGTAATCCCGCCAAAGTTTAAAGTGCCATTATTTTCCAAGTATGATGAGGTGTCTTGTCCTAAAATGCACCTCCCATCATATGTCAGGAAGATTCAGCCACATTCTACTGATAAAGACTTGTGGGTCCACTTTTTCCAAGACAGTTTATCAGGAACGCAACTTGATTGGTTTTACCAATTAGAAAGGGTCGATGTCCAGAATTGGGAAGACCTGGCCGCAGCTTTCTATAAACAATACCAGTACAACACCGATTTGGCGCCTACCCGTACTCAACTTCAGAGTATGGCTATGGTTTCCAATGAGGGCTTCAAAGATTACGCGCAAAAGTGGAGAGATCTAGCCGGAAGAGTGCAACCCCCTCTGTCTGAAAGGGAGTTGGTGGACATGTTCTTGGGAACTCTATCGGGCCCTTTCTTCAATCATCTGATTGGAAGTTCCTCTCCAGGGTTTACTGAATTGATTTTAATTGGCGAGAGGGTGGAAGCTGGTATAAGAAGTAGGAAGATTCAGAAAGACGCGTCTACCTCTACTGCTGTGAAAAAGCCCTTCACTGGGAAGAAGGAAGTATCCGCTATTTATTTACATAGGAATCAAGGAAGAACTGAACACCGACCAGTGGTGGGGGCCGTTATGATTCCAAAGCCTGCATCTGACTAGCCAAGAAATAACCAGCCAAGGGTGGAAAGGCCAGTCCGGAAATTCACCAGGATTAACATGACTCTAGCCCAGGTTCTACCACATCTTCTGAAATTGAATCTGGCAACTTTAAAAGAGGCCCCAAAGAATCCCAATACAGCGTCCCCTCATTATCATCTGAATGCCAGATGCGCATACCATTCTGAAAGTCCAGGGCACGACACTAACAACAGTTGGGCTCTGAAGAACAAAATTCAAGACCTTATTGATGCAAAGGAAGTTGAGTTTGATGCACCTGAGAAACCAAATGTTATTTCCGCTCTGATGCCTAGGCATGGTCACAATGCCAACGCTGTTGAGGAAGATTTGTTTGTTGCTACAGTAGATGAACTTTTGACTCCGCTCCTGATCATTAAGATGAATTTGTTAAAAGCTAGTGTATTCCCAGGATGTAAGGAAGACTGCCATCTGTGTTTGTCCTCACCCGCCGATTGCCCTCTGTTGAAGACAAGTATCCAACGCCTGATTGATAACCAAGAAATTCTGTTTGAGAATGCTCCTGTTTTACCCGTTCCTGTTAAAGAAGATTCAATTATAACCATCTTCACCAATCCTTCCAGGGCCCCCAAAAGACGCGTTAGGATTACACCTGCTCCAAAAACTACTCCACTTAAGATCACAATGTCCGGGTCGGTCCCGTACAAGTCAGATAAAACAGTACCATGGAATTATGGTGGAGAAATCTACTACCATGATATCAAACAAGATGAACCTACTGCCGAAGAAGAGAGCTCCGAAGAAGAAAATTCTGACATTAGCAATATTTCCGGAACTAGCAAGATTACCCATAGTGGTAGAATCTTCTCTCTAGAGATTTCCCCTCCAAAGGCAGTTTTTGGACCCGTGGCCGTTCTGAAGATTACCTCTGCACCAGTAATTATACCTGCAAGCATACCTACCGACAAAGACGACACAATCCATGTCCCTACCAATACTTCTACTACTGAGAATAAAGGAAAAAGCATTCAAGAAGAGCCTGTCCGGACGAAGGCTCAATCACTAGTTATCCCCGAAACATCCAAGAAGGAAATGGAAGAAATCCTGAGGATAATAAAGAAGAGTGATTATGATGTGGTTGAACAGTTGGGGCAAACCCCTTCCAAGATCTCCATGCTAGCATTGTTGTTGTGCTCTGAGGCACATGCAAAAGCTCTGGTAAAATTTCTGAAGACAGCTCATGTGCCACAAGAGACGTCTGCCGACCAGTTCCAAGACTGTGTGGCCAGTTTGACAGCTGATAACGGCCTGGGCTTCTCTGATGCTGACTTGACACCTAAAGGGAGAAAAGACAATGAGGCATTACATGTCTGTAGAGTGTAGAGGAACAACCCTAGCCCATGTCTTGGTAGACACTGGTTCATCTTTGAACGT